TATCCTGAGACTGCTGAGGGAAATCAAACCACGTTCACACTATTATTTTGCTCATCTGAGTACCGATTCATAAAGTGACTTTAGTCAACTGTGATGTAAATCAGCTCAAAACGTCGATGATGACGAGAGTTCCTATGCATGCTACCACCATGTAACAAACTTTGGTCCGATGCACTAGTAGGGTGGATCACATTTACTCTTCCATTTTGAAAGTCTTAGCTTTCCGAGGATTTATCTGAAATTCGAACTCTACATTCTACTAGTGCTATGGTAACTATTTTTGCTAAGTGTTAATTCGTTTCATTAGAGCAGTCAGCTGGTTTTTCATCGGAAATGTCATCAATTAAACACTGGGTCTGTCTTATCTCCATACTTGTCTCATGAACTCAAAGTCTGCCATCAGTTTGTTGATGCTGTTCTACTTTACGTGGATTTTAACAAAATTTGTTAATCGGCACTAAGTAGCCAACTCTCCAAAGTCATCTCTTCACTTTGGCCCGAAGAAAGATGTCTTCATCGGTCTTCCGTACAAAGATGACTCTCATAACACATTCCTTAAGCAGAGATTTAAAGCTGCTGTTGTAAGGACATACTATGCAGCTAGGGTTCGAATAATAGAAACCATCAGGCCTTCATACTCTTCCAAACCCTCATAGAAATTGAATGGCAATGTCACACTCCTGTTGCATTTACCAATTCAGTTGTACGTGTAGTTACACAAATATAGGGAGAACTAATAGATTTATGTAAGTAAGAACCTTAGGGCGTATTCCAAAATGGCTTCAGAAACGACTGCAGTCACCGTAACCGCTAAATGTTGACAGATGTCCAGATTCTTCGATCACGATACATATAGTCGAGACAGATCACAGGATTAACGCTGCTACTTTCTTTACATGTTAGGGACGCATCCTTAAAACTGTTAAACCTTTAGCTATTAGGAAGCTTAAGCTACATTCGTGTTTTCGAAAACAATTTGTTATTACCTTAAACCTCCATTGGTGACTTCAACAGTAAAACCAAGTTTGATGTATTATCATTTTTAGTACTAGTGATTTTTGCTGTAATTCGGCCATCAATTCAGCCTTTCTACTTGATCTCTTTTATTATTCTCACCCCTTATCTTTATGAATTTTCATATCGATACCAATGACAAGCACATGTAAGATCAGATTGTTCGGAATGCGTTGCACAAGTACACTACTTGGTTCAGACAATTTATATCATATTATTTTGTAGAAGTTTGAAGGAGTGTTAACTGTTTTTATAAAAGGGTATGTCTTAATTCATTCCCACATTCATAAAACTTTATACTGAAGTCTTGACTTTACTCAGAAGTAAAGCAGTACTTTCGAACAGTACATAGACAAACTAAGCTCAGAGATGCAGCCTATTAGTCAGTGTAGCAGTGATACAGTTTAACTAATTGTGTTGTATAAAACCGATGTAATCCTTGTAGCAGAGAATGAGTAGTAGTTACACCAGGTCTTTTCAACTTAATCGTCCTAATGGCATATGAATGCAGTAAAAACGTACAATAAAGTGAGTATTTCAAGAGACTACTATCAAAGACCAATAGGGCTTGCTGGCATATAGGACTTGGTAATGATGTGGATGAAGCCTGTACATCTAACAAGATGTGGCCTATAACTGCAGCTTTTCGTCGATAAATTTAGTCTGTCTAACATGGAATGATGCCTCCTTGCCCAAAATATTTAATTATTCTACCAACTGAATGCGAACCCCACTAAGGGTTACAGAATGGAATTGGTTGCCATCTTTTGAACAATTTGTACAATCTATAGTCAACACTTATCTGTTATAGTGAAGTTCAAATCGGTGCTGAGATTTTCAATCTACAGGTGAACAGAAAACTAATGGATCATCTTTTACAATAACGAAATCAATGCACATCGTTCCAGATTATTAGAAGGGAACGAAATCTTCACTGTTCACTCTTCTGTATATTTCCCTACCCGATGTGATAAACTGCTTTATCTTGCAATAAAGCAATTCTGTAGGTCAATATTTTTGTCACCATTATTCATTTTCATCTTTTCGAAAGTTTGTATCACATACTGTACTGAATAGCACTTAAGGAAAAGATGTAAAGGGCAGAGTGTCTCTTAATTTTACACTTGTCTGTAGCACAACGACAGTCAGAAAACTTGAAGTCAGTCCACTAGTGGATATCAAGAGGTTTCGATCTTACTTCAAAACAATTCTATGGTCGAAGTGTAAATGACCAGTTTCAGTAATCTTCCAACTGACTTGTCTTCATCACACATCGGTTTAACACTTTCCAAGATCTGTTGCTTAATAAATTTATTGAGTCGGATATGGTGAAGAATTAGTAGACGAAGTTTTCATGCTACTGACAAGGTGCATGAATTATGCTGCATACAACACAGTGCACCGAAGTACATTTTGCGAGTAGGTTGATGATCTGTCATCGTTCAATGGAACAGACTGAAGTAATAATGACTGGTAGTCATTTCAATGGAACAGGCCTAACACGTATCCTAATGCTTCAAATCTGACTTCAGTCGAGCGAGCTTCTGTGATATTTGTGCATGGATGTAGTGTTGTGGAACTTCTGTTGGAATCGAAGTCAGGTTTTCGCCTCACTTCGATGTAGTATTAGGAGGAATGAGAACTGGGAAGGTGAAAACCAAGTGTCCGATTGCTTTGTGAAACAGATTAGCACTAATCCCACTGAAATGCCTCATTTAGAAATTTCATTATCCCTGTGTCAGTTAAACTGCCTGTAGATGACGATGAAGCATTCTCCTGAGTCGCTGAACCACAAAACCTGGATGTTGTGGGTTGACAATTAACCGTGATGCGAGTTCTCATCGAGATGCACTTACTACCTCAGTTATTAGTGGACAGATTCATTTTGCAATTTATTGTGTTTGCAATGCGATCACTCTCAGTTTGTTATCGAAGACAATCCAGAGTATCCAAGATATCCGGATGTCATGTTTCGTCAAAACACCTCTGAAATAACACGGATCAATGAGTAGAAGAAAATAACATTGATTTGATACTGTTGTTCTCACGTCGATGACGCGTAATCGTGTAGATTCCAGAATACTCGTCTTCTGAAAGCAGCAACCTTCTCGCTTTCCATATCATTTGCAAGCATGACAGACACATTATTTACATGAATAATATACATGTGTATGAATGAAGTTAAGTATAATGAAGTTTCGTTGAAGTTTGTGCATGTTCGACATTTTCTGTGTTGTGGAAGAATTGATCAGGAGATGGTGAACGATGTAACTGTCAACACTGTAGTGTTAATCATGGTTCATTGAACAAGGTTGTAAGATGATCAGGATGCTGGGTGAAATGTGGTTGTGAGGAATTGTATTTTGTTGTTGATAGTTGCTGGAAGCTTTTTTCTTTGTTTTGCTTGGTGTAACTGAAAGTAAACCAACTGTGATTACTGATTGATAGCATTTTGGCGTTGTTTTCATGAATTTTGTTGACCATAAATTGTTGTATATTCAGTTATTTTCTCCACATATTATGACGTGGTTTACATGGGAGATTTTATGACGATTATGTGTCGAAAACTAATTCATATTTTTATCTTTGTTCTGGGTAACGATATTTAATTGTGTCATTCTATGATGAGCAGTTTTTGACGTTTTATTTAGCTTTAAGTGATGGGGTGTTTTTGTTTTAAAAATGGTGTGCAATGTTGAGCTACAGAAATTAATGTGTTACATATTTACTAGATAGTGAACATCAAACCACATTACATAATATGGTGAAACGGTATCATTGACTGCACAACCTCTGCACCTCTCAAATTTGTATGGCCACCTTGATATGACTATGCACTGTCAATCCCATCAAATATGTAAAAGAGTAAATACTGCTCTTCTACTGGATGGTGTATTCAGTAAATCAACTGAAATGAAATTGGATTCTAGCAGGGTCTCCATGTTTCACTGAAACTGACTTTTAAAAGAAGATTATTGAGATCTTTGCTTTTTCCTCATGTGTGTTATTGTCTATGCTGAAAATGACACCCAGTAGGGAATAATCAACCAAGTTTACCTCTGATAAATGACAACATTGACAAGTGAACATGCACCACACTCTTTTGTTTTGCTTCCCACTAGCTGTTGTCATTCTCTGTTGTTGTTGTGGTGGTGGTGGTGGTCGTCGTCGTCGTTTCCATATTCAAGTCTTCGAGGTGGTATCCTGTTATTAACTTACTCAATATTCGTGAATCACCTTCAGACAAGGTTAGTCGAATTGCCCACATATCACCTTTGTGATTTCATCACTCTGACATTGACCAATCAGATGAGAGAGGTGCATACACAGACAGGCAGATTCAGTGAAGTTGTATAAACACGTACACACATTCAGGCAATTAATCAATAGCCTGTGTATTATAGTAATTTATATTTGGTCCAGTAGGGATTATCATGGTTACGATTTCAGTGCATTTATGTGTAGGCATGATGGGGGAGAATGGTGGGTGAGACAGAGGAAGAGTATTTTTGTTTGTACAGATCAACAAGGATGCACATGAATCTGCAAAATTGCATACCCTAAGAAGAGAATAAAACTAATCTAATCTACTTTAACAATGTGTGAAATAAGAAACTTTGTTACAAAATAATATGGCCTACATTGATTTTAATGTTACACAAAAGGAAGGCAGTGCATGAAGATTATTCATTTCATACTTTTTTATCGGCTGTTTGTTAAGGAGAATAATTTAACGTGAGGAAGGCTGTTACCATAATCAGTGTTTCAAGCCAGTTAACTGATCGACAAATGATTTGTTCCCTTATATTTGACAGTTCTCAGGAAACTAATATTGACAACAATAATACCAATACTTATTATAATAATGATACCTGGGAGATTTCACTTGATTTCTTTGATCATTGTTTTGTTGCAGCAGCACACTGAAGTCAACAGTTGAGGTTTTAGTTTGCAATTTGACAGAAATATACATTGTTACAGAAAAAATGGATATCGCAAAGACTACACCACAAAGAAAGTGAGTATCTTCTTGTTTTTCTTCTGTTTACTGTATGTGTTGAGGTTTCTTTCCCGTGAAACAACTTAAGGTGCCTTATTTATACCAGGAATGCTTATTCTCAAAATGACACTTTGGTTGTTTTTTCATTCTCTTATAGGAAGGTCTTCTGTTGGTATATTTCATTTATCACGTTTGTCTAAGTGCTTTACTTGGTCTAAATAACCGGCTTCGGTATATATTTGGTTTTTCTGAAGAAAAGAGAAGCTCTTTTATCTATCCACCCAAAATTTGCATTGATAGTTGCTTCACGAGGTAGTTTTCAAGTAAAATGCAGGCAAGTAGCGAAATGTGTGTCATTCTAATTAACGGAGAAGCATGAATCTATCTTAATCAGGTTATATATGTATTGAGAACTTTAGATTCCTGTAGCAGGAGAAGGTAGTGCATAGAGTCATGAACTTCACAAATAAGATGGTTCTGTGTTTTTTTATTCTAACACATTTATGCCAACATTCCAGGAAGACATTTTTGGCAAGGGGAATATTCCTTATGCTTCATCGTTTTTGTATCATGCATAGGCATCAGTTGGAGAACTGAAGATTAGAGTGCGCTAGAAGGGAGTTAGTGAACCGTCGGCAAGATAGTAAATCGCTTACTGAGACAGCTAGCAGTCATGAGTTTGGTCCCTTGTGATGTCAAGAGTATGCACTGCTGAAGAGTTGTAAGCTAGAATTTTACAGCTGTCCAATGCTCCCAGGGTTTTAGTAGTTCTCTTGCTGATACCAGTTCATAATAAAAACACCGTTTAATTATTAGATCTCTACAAAATACCAGTCGGAATACTTTTATCGTTTTAGCTGAACAAATGCCTATACTAACGTCACTCACCTAGAGTGATCTAAATATACACAAAACATTAAAATACATCACCAATAATCGAATAAATATTCAATAGTTCAGCAATGTCAACTGTTTTTCATTGTTTATTTACTTCGAATTGATTGTCTTGTGTTAGAAAGCTCGTTTATGAATGTATCATCTTCACTTCTTGGCATTCTAAGTGACCTTACGAACTACATGCTAATTATGAGGTGTAATTCGAACGTGTTTCCAATATATTTGAATACCAAGGAGATTATTTAGGAGGGATTTTTTTCTGCAGCATCACTTGACATGATATCTTGTTTTTATTCAATGTAGACCAACAATAGAATCTTAAACTATGCATTTTTGTTTATCTAAGACTTGGAGAGTGTTGAAGTTGTCACTGATGGAGAAAAAGAGAAACAAGTTGGCAAATCAACGTACAAAACTGTATTCTGTCAAGTTACTTCACTTTATAGCAGCATACAAAATGAATTTGGTTGAGAGAAGAATGACCTAAAAATAGGCACGAAATATAAGGTAACCGGGAATAAATAAATAACATTTAGGAGAAATGTCCAAAATTTTTAAGTTGATATCACTGAAACTCAAACCTAACCTCGACTAATGTTCTCACTATAAGGTCATCAAATATGATATTGAACAACATTAGATAAACTAAATTCGATGGATATAAATTATTCTTTGTAATTTCCATAAGGAGACAGTCAGTACCACCAAAATAAAGAAGAGTAATGAACTTTAGGTCGTTCTTGATTTTTTGATACTATATGATGACTTAAAGGGAAACAGAAACTTTGGTTCGAGCAGAATTCAAACCAGTGGCTTCTGGATACCGAATCAGATATTTTTTTATATTTTTATATGCGTCTTCTTATTTGCTTTTACTTCCGCTTACTTTTGATATCACCTTACCGGTTGGGATTAATCCTGAAGGCTCACACCATCTGTGATGCTTAGTTATGCATCTTAGTAGACAGGGGTTATGGTGTTTGTTCTTCTATCCATAATACCCTTTGAAGTAACATTGAGTAACAGTAAAACAGTACTCACAAAACCTTCTGACTGCTAACCATTTCATCTTCAGTCATCATGCATTATCAATACAAGTCTGCTAAACTACTGCAATCCCAGATAGTCAAACTGATGAATTATATGATGCTTCGCTTCTCTAATTTAATCAGAGTTGGATGCGGATGAGGTGTTCTGACTAGGCAGTCAGTGTAAGATCACGCGATAATTACACGTCACAAATTCACTTGACAATCGGTCAAAACCCTCGGTGACTGGAATGAAATAAAAATCTGATCAGCAATCAGGTCTCGTAGCTCAGTCGGTAGAGTAACAGGCCAAAAACTTGGTGGTTTCTGGTTCAGATCTTACCATGACCCAAGTTTTCATTTTACCTTCACTCATGAATCAGCATCGATAACAAGTTTAACTGTTACAAGTTCTGATCCACTGAAAGCTTATTTGTTGTTCAAAACCAAATAATTTTGTACTGATTCTGCTGTGCATCTATGGTACCCCATTTATAAACCGACTTTCTCAAAGTTTTTCCTTCACAAAACATTGTGTGGTTAAAAATTACTATTACCAAAACGATTTATAACACCTTAAAGGATCCTCTTATCCTGTGGTAAGAAGATGCAAGTTTAACTGAGGCTTATCAGTGACTCTAACCAGGAGAAAGCTGACTCAATAGGGACTCACTGCTGTACGGCACCTGGCCTTCATTTCATGTGAATAAGTGGTCATTCAGTGCAGTCAACAGACTTCATCCACGTAAATTAGGAGTCGAAAGAGGTTTCTCTGCTGGCTTATTTGCCATTGGATAATAACAGATAGGATTGTTAGTTCTGCAACAATGTTACCTGGTTACTGGTTTTCAGAACAGTCTAGGCTGATTTTTTTAGAGCTCAGTTCAACCATTCCTTTGAAAGGAGAAAAATCTCTACATCAGTATACTGGATATTATTTCAGAATCATTGAATGAAGAGTAGGCGATGATAAGAGTGCTTTATGAATATTTACATTTTCCTATTACTGTGTTAATTACGCTTGGTTAGGGATTTCAACCTTCACACTAAGCTACTCTGTTGCCTCAGTCATAATAAAGAGATACCAGTGTAAAGCTTAGGATTCTGTCATCACTGAAACTTTGTTAAGAATTATATGCACAGTTTATTTGTGTTAGAATATACTTATGAAGTCAGCCAAAGAAGTAATAGTTCAAAACATTCAACCAGATAACGGTTACAGTTGCAATGTCTAAATCTATGTATCAAAAGTTTACCAATTGATCTTATAATATTCTCATTCCAAAGGATACCTTTAAAATTGGTCATTTAGTTTCCAAATATTGAAGAACAAACTAGTCTGTGAGGTCACGTTCGTTGATACTAGCAAAAAACCTTCAGAAGTAACAATCTGTAAGCATCAGAAAGAGCATGAATTATTGAAATTATTTCGAGGTTTATGGGTATTTTATTTATTTCAAGGTGGTTTTCATCATGGAAAGCCATTTCGTCTTGGCAAAGAACCCCACAGCAGTACGTACACACAACCACATCAGGAGTCGAACTCACATCCTTCAGGTTTAGTGATCCTAAGTTTCCAGTGGTTTACGAACTGATGTCATTCAGGTGTGAAGACTACCTAAGAGAATGAGTAAATTCCTCATAAACCCCTAACGAAGTTACTGTATAGTTCTGATGGATGATGTGCTTTGAGATGAATATCCCGAATTTCTAATGAGAAGCTGTGATCTGTGGGGTCAACCAGTTAGAAGTAAGGCGGATTCCAACTGAAGATTTTGGTGGACAGTCGCGCCAGATCACGAACTGGTAGAAGTAGGTGTCTGTGGACCATTGAACTCCAATCTAGTGGCTTAATGGTTAACGTGCTCACCTTTAGACCTGAAGAACCTTGGGTCGAGTCCCCGGCGAAGTCGCGAATGAGTACTGCTGAGGAGTTCTGTGGTATGACGAGACAGTTGTCCAATGCTCCTAAATTTTCAACGGTTCACTGACTGGTGTTAGTCCATGAAAAGTATTACCTTGGAATTATTGAAGTGTTTTTTTTCATCTTATTCCTTCAACGTTATTTTCGATATTTTTGACTAAGAAATCTTACACCGTCTTCAGACATTCCGTACGATAAATTTTCAAGTTTATATAACTTACAGTGAATCATTTTTTTCAGATTATTTGTTTATAATCTTAAATAACCTACTTGAGATTTTTCGTTATCTCCCTTCTGTAGTTTAAACTAAGCATAAAAGTTTATTCCGTTGATGAATGCAAATCTCCAGTTTTGTTGAATTTTATTGCATTTTTCTGATAGTTTCAAAAATAGCCTATCTATATAGTATCTGTTGTAGTAAATATGGATTGATATTAGAAAGCTGGAGAAAAACTAATGGTCAATCACTAATCATCCTCACCAAATCTAACTGAAACAAATGAAGGTTGAAAATATAACCAGCTGTAACTGAATTAAATTTCAGTAGTATGCTTTGGCAAGTCAGCTGAACCAAGAGCTAGACATGCCTTAGTCTTCACAAAATTTTCATGATGAACAATATTGGATGTTCATCTTAAAATTTACTGAAGTAAAACAAAGGAGTTTATAATACTTAAAAATCCCTTGAACACAATATGTGATGATATTATGACAGTGTTATTACCATACATTTTTTACTACAAAGATGTTCATGTGAAGATTGAAACCAGCAGCCTATGAGTAGCCAACTCAGTACTTTATCCGTAGATCTGGGAGATGTAGTTGTAGGCCACTGCCCCGTTTCAATACTTGAATATTTTTTCTTCAAGCAGTGTGATTGAGTAGAATGAGAATATCCCTCCATCAATACATTAGCTGTTAGATTTTCTCACTAGGTGCTGCAGTATATCATTAGGGGCCAGTTTTTATTTCAAGTTATACTCAGGTTCTCATAAATATACAACTGATCTCATTCTTCAAGATAAGCAAATCTCAGTATGAAAAATGATAATTTCGGCCCTAACTGCAAACGTCCTAAGCAAAAATATGTTGGCATTAAGATGTTTTCTTAAATTTGAAGGTGGGTTTATTCACAGGCTGAAATCATTCGGTTGGTTATTTTAGGTCAA